AACAACCTTGCTACAAGTCTGATAATATCAACAAGCTTGTTAGAAGCTGTTAACAACTTGTGTACAATATTGTTATATCATGACTGTATCGAACTTGTTGGAACAACCTTGCTACAAGTCTGATAATATCAACAAGCTTGTTACAAGCTGTTTAAACAACTTGTCTACAATATTGTTATATCATGACTGTATCAGACTTGTTGGAACAACCTTGCTACAAGTCTGATAATATCAACAACCTTGTTACAAGCTGTTAACAACTTGTATACAATATTGTTATATCATGACTGTATCAGATTTCTTGGAACAATCTTGCTACAAGTCTGATAATATCATCAAGCTTGTTACATGCTGTTAACAACTTGTATACAATATTGTTATATCATGACTGTATCAGACTTGTTGGAACAATCTTGCTACAAGTCTGATAATATCAACAAGCTTGTTACAAGCTGCTTAAACAACTTATACAATATTGTTATATCATGACTGTATCAGACTTGTTGGAACAACCTTGCTACAAGTCTGATAATATCAACAAGCTTGTTACAAGCTGTTTAAACAACTTGTACAATATTGTTATATCATGACTGTATCGGACTTGTTGGAACAACCTTGCTACAAGTCTGATAATATCAACAAGCTTGTTACAAGCTGTTTAAACAACTTGTACAATATTGTTATATCATGACTGTATCAGACTTGTTGGGACAACCTTGCTACAAGTCTGATAATATCAACAAGCTTGTTACAAGCTGTTTAATCAACTTGTACAATATTGTTATATCATGACTGTATCAGACTTGTTGGAACAACCTTGGTACAAGTCTGATAATATCAACAAGCTTGTTACAAGCTGTTAACAACTTGTTTACAATATTGTTATATCATGACTGTATCAGACTTGTTGGAACAACCTTGCTACAAGTCTGATAATATCAACAAGCTTGTTACAAGCTGTTAACAACTCGTATACAATATTGTTATATCATGACTGTATCAGACTTGTTGGAACAACCTTGCTACAAGTCTGATAATATCAACAAGCTTGTTACAAGCTGTTAACAACTTGTATACAATATTTTTATATCATGACTGTATCAGACTTGTTGGAACAACCTTGCTACAAGTCTGATAATATCAACAAGCTTGTTACAAGCTGTTAACAACTTGTATACAATATTGTTATATCATGATTGTATCAGACTTGTTCAAACAACCTTGCTACAAGCCTGATAATATCAACAAGCTTGTTACAAGCTGTTAACAACTTGTATACAATATTGTTATATCATGACTGTATCAGACTTGTTGGACCAACTTTGCTACAAGTCTGATAATATCAACAAGCTTGTTACAAGCTGTTAACAACTTGTATACAATATTGTTATATCATGACTGTATCAGACTTGTTGGAACAACCTTGCTACAAGTCTGATAATATCAACAAGCTTGTTACAAGCTGTTAACAACTTGAATACAATATTGTTATATCATGACTGTATCAGACTTGTTGGAACAACCTTGCTACAAGTCTGATAATATCAACAAGCTTGTTACAAAATGTGTCAAGGAAAACTTCTTGAGTGTACACACAAGAAAGTGTAATATACTTTTTCTCGATTTATTTTGTTCAGTCGTCCAGTCTAGCGGCCGTTCAGAAAGAAAAAGAAGATCTTGTCTGCAGTCATGAGATTGCCATTGAGTCTCGAGCCGCAGAAATAAATACGTTGAAGGAAAACCACGATACGGTCAGTAAAAAAAGTTTTGATCAATATTTTAATTGGTATTCTTTTTCGGAAACACATATAGATATTGGTTTTTTAAAGATGCGGTATAGTCCGTATGTAAACAAAGCCTTTGTTTACATTTTTGTGCCAAAATATTGAGCTTTATTCGACAACTATTTATATTTTCAAGCTTCTAGAGTATAATAAATCATCAAGAAACAACAATCAGGCTTTGCAAGAACCCAAAACATAGTTAAACTGTTTGTATCATAAAAAGTGGGCTCCTTTGTGCGCATGCGCAGATCGGACTTTAGGGCACTTTAAATATTCAAGAGTTATAACTATTATTCTTGGAATGCGTTTTAGAGCACTAGTGAAAATGCTGCGAAGATAACAAGTTTAGAGCAAGAAAAATTACAACATGAAGTGAAATTAAATGCACTTTCAACAAGCGCCAAGGAAAAGGTAGAAATATTTTGTGTCCGAGATCAATAAATTTATTAAAATATTGAAATAGACAAATTAAATTAAATAAATTAAAATATGTAAATTAAAATATATGAATAAATTTGTATAATTTAAAATAATGTAAATTTAAATAAATAAGTATATTAATTTAAAAAATGTTAATTAAAATAAATAAATAAATTAAATGAACTAAATAAAAATAAGTAAAAAATAAATAATAAGCATGTGTGTGAACTGTATATAAATGTCTTTCAGGATGACGAGCTCACCGCTCTTCAAGCAAATTTGACGAAACTCGCGGAAGAAAAAGGAGCGCTTCAAGAGAAAGTGGACACGAATTTAAAGGTTTAAGCTTGCTTATAATGTTTCCTTTATATTATCAACACGTTCGAGCTAGTGCCGTTTTTTGCAAAGGAAACTCGCTGTATAGGCGCGTTTCAAGCGGCTAAGAATATTACACTGACTTCATTTTATGTGTTTTGATGTAGATGTTAGATGAAAGATCTTCACAACTCGAGCAGAGGGCGAAAGAATTTGAAGTCACTAAGGTGCTCTGAAATATATTATCAGTCAAGTTTAATACACATACGTAAAAGTCTCGGAACTTGTCAACAAGATGTGTTCGCAACAGGCTTGTAGCAAGCTTGTCAACAAGTTGTAACAATGTTGTTATTTTATCAAGTTGCTACAAGGTTGTCACTCACAACTTGTTGACAAATTGTTGAATTGCAGGACGATAACAAGTTGTTGGAACAACTTTTAACAAGTCTGTTGAGTTGCAAAGTTGTGAGATTTTTTCGTGTGTAAGAACAAATTTTGATGGGTTCTATAACCTGTTCATTTTCGATTACAACAATCTTTTAATATTGACTGCAACCCTTAGAACTATATAGGTTATTTTAGTCTACAGTACTAATTTTTTATAGTGTATTCAACATTTGTTTTGACATTTTAAAGGAATCACTTCAAACTGCCGCCTGTAGCAAAGAGACTGAACTCAAGACTCAACTGTCAGATTTAATGTCAACTTTAAAATCTATTAAAGAGAAATTGCATTTGTCGGAGGTGGGTATAAAGTGTATGTTTATCCGTGAAAAACGCGGTCGTCTCAAGCGCTAAAAGTTGTTCACACTCGTTTGGGACTGGCTGGGCCCCTGATTTTTATACATTTGTATGTTTAGTTAAAAACTGAGGAAAAAGAAAAAGAGATAGAAAGTCTTAGAGCACAGGTATGTATACGTTTTTTGTGTGAAATTAAAAATTCCAGTTTTTATTCTTAAAGAATTTAATTTGGAATATTTCTCGTACTCATGTCGTGCATGATAAACGTTGATTTCATCTCTCTCGAGGTTGATCAAGTAACACAAGAGAAAACCTCGTTGGAAACAGAGAAAACAAATGATGCCAAGGTAGACCAATTATGTTTGACTCCAATATCGATAAGAAATGATCCTTACTTACTGGACATCTAGGGAGAACAGTTTAGAACTGATAGAGGTATCCAGTATGAATAAAGTTAGTTTAGTTTAGGTTTCCTCCTGTAGTAACACTGGATCAATAAGAGATGATACTTACTGGACATCTAGGGAGAACAGTTTAGAACTGATAGAGCTATCTAGTATGAATAAAGTTAGTTTAGTTTAGGTTTCCTCCTGTAGTAGCACTGGATCAATAAGAGATGATACTTACTGGGCATCTAGGGAGAACAGTTTAGAACTGATAGAGCTATCTAGTATGAATAAAGTTAGTTTAGTTTAGGTTTCCTCCTGTAGTAGCACTGGATCAATAAGAGATGATACTTACTGGACATCTAGGGAGAACAGTTTAGAACTGATAGAGCTATCTAGTATGAATAAAGTTAGTTTAGTTTAGGTTTCCTCCTGTAGTAACACTGGATCAATAAGAGATGATCCTTACTCGACCTCTAGGGAGAACAGTTTAGAACTGATAGAGCTATCTAGTATGAATAAAGTTAGTTTAATTTAGGTTTCCTGTAGTAACACTGGATCAATAAGAGATTATCCTTACTGGACCTCTAGGAAGAACAGTTTAGAACTGATAGAGCTATCCAGTATAAATAAAGTCAGTTTAGTTTAGATTTCCTCTTGTAGTAGCACTGGATCAATAACAGCTGATCCTCACTGGACATCTAGGGAGAACAGTTTAGAACTAATAGGGCTACCCAGTATAAATAAAGTTAGTGTAAGACAACATTTTTGTATCTCTCGCACAGGCTCATCAAGAAGAAATAAAGAATTACGAATCTAAAGTTCAAGAATACTGTGACAGAATTCAAGAGAAGGTGAGGGTAACCCAGGTGTCCAATGCCGGCATCTTGCTTCACTGTACCACCGAGGTACGCCTGTTGTGCGTACAGGGTATTACAGCGACCTTAAGTTGTAGCTTCAAGTTTCTGGCTGATAACTACTAGTTAAAACATGATCAACCGATCTTTATCGTTATAACCGTTCTTTCAAATAAAGGAAAGTTAGCTTTTATTACCATTTTCTATTAATCAGGAAGCTGGGTGTCAGGAATTACAAAACTCACTCGACAGAAAAGACGAACAGCTGCAGGAGCATCGACAAAAACTTGAGGTAAAAATTATGATTTAATGTCCAAGATCCATTCATAGAATATGCTCAGACACAAACCGTCGCAGTTCGTTGTAGAACACTACCTACACTAGACCACCAAATAAATACAGTATAATCTGAATTCAGGCTCAAGAGCAACAGTTAAAGAAGCCATGTGAAAGTTGTATTGATTATGACAAGAAGTTATGTCGCTCTGAGGAATTGTTAAATCAAGAAAAACAACTGGTAGCTAACAAAGAGAAAGAAATACTAGCAGTTGGAGAGAAGTCTGCGGTAAATTATTTGCTTTTTAATTTAAATTCTAATCTTCTAAAACAAAACTTTTCTTCCTTCAATTTGTATATTTGAAAAAGAGTTTTGCTATTTGTAAAGGGAGTTTTGCTATTTGAAAAGGGAAATTTGCTATATTTGAAAAGAGCGTTTTGCCATTTGAAAAGAGAGTTTTGCAATTTGAAAAGGGAGTTTTGCTATTTGAAAAGGGAGTTTTGCTATTTGAAAAGAGAGTTTTGCTATTTGAAAAGAGAGTTTTGCTATTTGAAAAGAGAGCTTTGCTATTTGACAAGCGAGTGTTGCTATTTGAAAGGGGAGTTTTGCTATTTGAAGAGGGAGTTTTGCCATTTGAAAAGGGAGTTTTGCTATTTGAAAAGGGAGTTTTGCCATTTGAAAAGAGAGTTTTGCTATTTGAAAAGAGAGTTTTGCTATTTGAAAAGAGAGTTTTGCTATTTGAAAAGGGAGTTTTGCTATTTGAAGAGGGAGTTCTGGCATTTGAAAAGGGAGTTTTGGGTTTTGAAAACGGAGTTGTGGGAGTTCTTGAAATTTTCTACCTTACTTAAGCATGCATAAGACTTTCTGACCAAGGATTGCAGTTAGCTCCAGACATTTGCAGGTAGCGCCGCTAACCTAGGATCCCAACATCTGACAAGCATGCTATTGCAAACCCCTTTTAATTTAAGTGGACACATTGCTGAGGCCCCATAGTGTGTCTGCTTACTCAGAGGGTTTGACTGTATTCTAAAATGTTGTTTCTTCATTCAGGAACTTTCAAAACAAGTTGAAACTATCGAAGAGGAAAAACAAAAACTGGCTCTTGAAATACAAGAAATCCAGGCAAAACTTCGAGAAGAAATAAATCATATTTCTCAGGTAAATATGCTTCTTTATTGTCCGCTTTGTTCAAATATGCGAACAGGCAAAAATGTCACAGCTTGCAGCAAGTGTCAACAAGTATGCAACAAGCTGTTAACTTATATCAAGCTTGTTGATATTATCAGACTTGTAGCAAGGTTGTTCTAACACGTCTGATACAGTCATGATATAACAATATTGTATACAAGTTGTTAACAGCTTGTAACAAGCTTGTTGATATTATCAGACTTGTAGCAAGGTTGTTCCAACAAGTCCGATACAGTCATGATATAACAATATTGTACAAGTTGATTAAACAGCTTGTAACAAGCTTGTTGATATTATCAGACTTGTTCCAAGGTTGTTCCAACAAGTCCGATACAGTCATGATATAAGTTATATAAAAATATTGCTCAGGAGCGTCGAAGCGGCTCTAAAAGTGGGGGGGGGACACTTGGCGCCCGCCGAAGGCGGGTGACCTTTAAGGGAGGTCCGGGGGCATGCTCCCGAAAAACTAGAGTCTCTGAAATGTCATTTCCTGCACTTCAGAAGGAGATTTACAGAGTTTTAAAGGCAACAAAATGTCATAAAATATCTCACATTGTTTTGTCTACACGCGTAACTGAAATAATATCAATTAACGTTGTGGTTTATAACTGACCATTGTTAAAAAGTGGGGGGGGGGCAAAGACACTTAGGCCCTCCAACTAAAAAGTGCACCCCATTCCGACGCCCCTGATATTGTTACAACCTTGTGTCGTCAACCTTGTAACATTTTTGTTATATCATGATTATATTATACTTGTTAGAACAATCTTGTAACAGGTCTGATGATCAGCCATCAAGCTTGTTCCAAACTTGTTATAACAACTGGGAACAAGCAGTGCGAATACAATTTGACGACAGTTTGTGAGCAGATTTGTAACAACTTGTGCGTTTTACGTGTGTATATCATCTATTGTCATGAGTTGATCAAGTGTGTGAATTATTCCCCAGGAGAAAACGTCTGTAGAAAATAAAGTTACAGAAAGAAACAGCAGATTGGAAGAGGCAAAAACTGCGCAAGACCAGATTATGAGGCAGAATGTAAGTATTGCAGACCGCTCATCCAATAAAAGGGTTTTGCGTATCGCTAAAAAGAATTCTCAAATGAATACCTTTTACAGGAAAACCTGGAAGAAAAGTTGAAATTAAAAGAAAACGAAGTGAAAGAAATGGAGCAAGTTAAGTAAGTTTGCCGATTGATGCATTGCTGCTTTTTTTGTGTTTTACTTTGTACAACTAAACATAGCATTAATTCTAAATAGCTCTATATGTTCTAAACTGTTCTTCCTAGAGGTCCAGTAAGAGTCCTCTCTTATTGATCCAGTGTTACTATAGGAAGAAACCTAAACTAAACTAACTTTATTTATACTGGATAGTTCTATCAGTTCTAAACTGTTCTTCTTGGAGGTCCAGTAAGGATTATCTCTTATTGATCCAGTGTTACTACAGGATGAAACGTAAACTTAACTATCTTTATATAAACTGGATAGCTCTATCAGTACTAAACTGTTCTTCCTAGATGTCCAGTAAGGATCATCTCTTATTGATCCAGTGTTACTACAGGAGGAAACGTAAACTTAACTAACTTTATTTATACTGGATAGCTCTATCAGTACTAAACTGTTCTTCCTAGAGGTCCAGTAAGAGTCATCTCTTATTCATCTAGTGTTACTACAGGAGGAAACCTAAACTAAACTAACTTATTTGTTCTGGATAGCTCTATCAGTTCTAAACTGTTCTTCCTAGAGGTCCAGTAAGGATCATCTCCTATTGGTCCAGTGTTACTACAAGAGGAAACCTAAACTTAACTAACTTTATTTATACTGGATAGCTCTATCAGTACTAAACTGTTCTTCCTAGAGGTCCAGTAAGGATCATCTCTTATTGATCTAATGTTACTACAGGAGGAAACGTAAACTTAACTAACTTTATTTATACTGGATAGCTCTATCAGTACTAAACTGTTCTTCCTAGAGGTCCAGTAAGGATCATCTCTTATTCATCCAGTGTTACTACAGGAGGAAACCTAAACTAAACTAACTTTATTTATACTGGATAGCTCTATCAGTTCTAAACTGTAACAATGCTGTTATTTCATCAAGTTGCTACAAGGTTGTCGCTCTCAACTTGGTGATAAATTGTTGAATTGCAGGACGATAACAACTTGTTGGAACAGCTTGTAACAAGTCTGTTAAGTCCGTGGTTTTAAAACCTAACTTTTCTGAGTCAGTGAAAATAACTTGGTGATTTTTTTTTTCAGAATTAATCTTGAAACCCAAATCTCCTCATTAGAAAAAGACGTGGAGAATGAGAAAATGCAGAGAGAAAAAGTTTGTAAAATCCTTCATATGTACACGTCTCCATTGAAGAGAACATATTTTAACTTGTGAAATGAATCTGGTTTTTTAAGTAAAGATGTTAATCAATCAATAAACAATCTTTACCAGAAAATGAGCTGTCTAAATTAACATAAAAAAAGTGTGCCACAATTGTATTGTAAATATTTATTTTCTCAATTCAGGCAGTGGACGAAATGAACGAGAAAGAAAAGATGTTGATTGGCCAAAAACTTGAAGTTGCAAACCAACTCGAAACCTTGGAGACAAGCTTAGCTAAGGTTTAGTTTCATTTTTGCAAAACTCCACAGATAAGGTTAACCTCGTACTAAAGTAAAGGAACTTTATCAGGGCTTGGTTATGGTTAAGGCTATATATTGTTTGTTGGAGTTCGGTTAGGGTGATTTGTTTTTATTCTACTGCAGGCCAAAGAAGATTTTGATGACAATAAGGAAGCTGGAAAAAGAGCTCAAAATATCCTGAAAACTGAGATGGACAATTTATCAGAAAAATTGGTACGATAAATGAAGTTATTGGACCATTTGCATTATAGACTAAATTTTGATCTAGACAAAAATTTCATCACAGCTTGAAAGAGCATCACAAAATGAGTAATATTCCAAAGTTTCGTTGCGAAATGTTGTAAAATGCGGATAATATAGCCTTACGAAGTTTACCGTTTTTCAGTCATTTTGAATTACGCACGGGAAATTGACAGCCCAATCGGGTGTTGGGGCATCAATTTCCCGTTTATAATACAAAATGACTGAAAATTGGAAATTTCGCAAGGCTATATTATCCGCATTTTACAACATTTCGCAACGAAACTTTGGAATATTACTAATTTTGTGATGCTCTTTCAAGCTGTGATGAAATTTTTGTCTGGATCAAAATTTAGTCTATAATGCAAACGGTCCATTGAGACCTTTTAAGATCGAAATCTATCGAGAAAATCTTATTTACAACAGTGTATTCGCGTGAACAGAGCAATAACACTCAGCCCGCGTAGCCAACCAGCTCGGATCATTGCATTTATATAGATAATATCATGTTTGCGTGAATTTCTATTGTTCTATTGTGCTGTATTAGTAACTAATTCACTCGCCTACTCAAATGTACAGGTCGTATTAGAACTAATACGACCTCAGTTGACGTCACTACGGGTCGTATTAGTATTACCACATCACCTGGAAAGTTTGAGCAAAATCTTTCCGACAGGCCACAACATTCTCTTCAGTACAGAACGTCTTATAACGCTCCACCGACATCATTGACAGTGTCTAAACACTGATTTGGGTGAAATTCACGCAAAAATAATAAATGACCCTCGTCGAGCGGGTGGTTTAATGACTAATACTCCTCATTTCATGATATTACT